CATCATTTTGGACCAAATAATATAAAACGAGTGAAGAATCACTTTTCAATTAAAAAAATATTTTCATCCTCAAAGCGTTAAAAGAAAAACACACTAATATCATTAATTGCACTATTTATTTCTACTAGAGTGATGAATGTATATGAAAACATCCCTGTAGGTAAAATCAAATCAGTTCGTCTCGAGAGAACTTTTTTTGTTAGAGTGTTGGACTATTCTTCGTTTTTCGAGTGTCCTTGTAGATATTTGCTTTCGCTCCACTCTGCATTGTATATGCAGGAATAGTTTTCTCGCAATCACTACGTATATAAGAGACGCAGTATCACTATAAAATCATAGTGATACATTTATTCTAACTGATTTATCTATTCGTATTCATTCTCCAACTAACAGCAGAAAAATGAGCATCATGAAATCAGCGGTTTATTTCATTTTTATCTTGGCATCCTTGACAATGTACTACAATGCACAATCATCGAAAGACTCCGACAAATCCGTTGTTAAACGTGCTTGTGTTCCTATTGGTGGACTTTGCGGGAGTCCAAAGGACTGTTGTGGACATGATGATCCTAATTCTGGTTATTGTATTCTATGTCAATCTCGCGGCATTTTTATTCCTTATGGACGAAACCGTTGTATGTGTGATGCTACTGAAACTATTCCTTATGACCGCGTAACTAAGATAATTACTGGTGATCGTTGTAATGGCCATGATGCTTCTAAGACTCGTTGTAAAGTGAAGGTTTATCCTCCTGGTCATCGTTTTGCTCGTGGTAAAAAGAGATTCTAACCATAAGCTTGGTATGTTATATGAACATAGTGTTGCGATGATAACTCATTTAGAGAATATCGTGATATTTTATTCTATCATTTGTATATTCTTCTTTGAGTTTATCATATTTAGTATTGTAGTCTTGCGTAATATGAGTGCTCTTTTTGTCTTCGTAGGATATTTGGCACAAACACAAGTCCACACCGAAAAATTGAACATCACTCTCAACTATTACTAACATTATCAATTAGTTAGTTTCTCTTCTCCTACTAATACTTGATTATTTTACTTCTTTATCTTTTCGCAAGTTTAAATTCTAATAAAATACATGCACTGATAGACTTTGGCGAGGTCTGAACTGCAAAGAAGATTTGAGGGTGTGGGTGGGTGTTAGATGAATGCAGTATTCACATCTACACCCTCAAACAATGTTTTGTTGATTATTTATCTATCGATTTTCATTCTAAACTATTACAAATAAGTCAAATTATCATTCTTAAACTAAATAGACAACAGAGAAAAGTACTGACAAAATAGTCTTAGTGCGTCATAAAAAGTCATTTGATAAAATTTCAAAGCTATTAGCATCAAAAACTTATGTATGATATTAATAATAATAAGAATTTATAATATACAATCGAATTTTTTGTCACCATCATTTATCAACTCAAAAATAATATTTTGAAAATAGTAAATATTTCACAAAAGAAACAATCAAAGCCATTGGAAAAATTTCAGAATGCAATTTTATTCACAAATAGAATATAATGAGATTAAAGAGAACAACAATCTATATAATTCTTCTTTCTTACCACATTATCATTTTACTCAATTTATCACTTATAAAATATATTTTATTTATCAAATAATGGGTAAATATTTATTGTATAAAAATAATTATTTCATAAAACAGTATTTTCAACAACAGAAAATTTTTGTTTTTGAAAAAATGATAATCAAACCATTGAAATATTCTATTTGTTCGAAATCTTAAAGTCTTTGTTTAATTAATTGGAAATAATAATAAATTCAATCATGGTATTTCATATTTGGATTAGAACGTCCATTTTTACACAATAAATACTCTTTAAAATCATTACTTATTTGTTCAAATTGCTCAAATAAATCGATAAGAAAAATATCAAGAACTGTTTTTTCTACATTTTAGACCGAATCTTCTATGATTATCAATGGAAATCTTATTGATAAAAAATAAGATTTCTAAATATTTACAGAATATTGACCTCGGCTTAAATGCTTTTCAGTACTAAAATATCTGATTGATTTACTTATAGTTTAGTTGCTAATATTGACTTTATATCAAAAAACAACTACATCGACAGTGTTCAGCACATTTTTGATAGGAATAGGAATTTTCTAAGTAATTAAATACATTCACATTCTAAGGACGAAACAAAAATTTTTAATTCAATACGATTTTAGGATTATCACATTTTTATTCTCATCAGTCTCTGTAAAAAGAAAAGGGACCGTGACATCATTGTTTTTAACATCATTCACACATTCATTCATATTTCTTTTCTGTAAAACATTTAAAACAAAATTATTTTTTTAACAAAATTTATTGTCGAGTTTAGTTTACAATAAATAGACAGACATCTGAACTGAGATTTGATATTTATTCAGATTCATTCGATCATTTTAAGCATTCATCTTTGATTATATTTTTAGAAAAATCTTCCATTCATAAATTATATGAAGTTGTTGTAGCAATAGCTGATCATTTCATTAAAAGAATGCAACTTAATTTAAAAATTTCTCAAATAAATATATATTTTAAATACCAATGAAATCAGAAGAAACTGAATCACATCGAATATTATATCGAACTAAATCTAATATGGAATTTTTTGTTATATAGATAATAAGAACATTAATAGAATCACATTTATTAATTACTTTTTCGTTCGTTATATCGAATTCTAACCTACTCATTTAATCTGTCCGTTGATCTTTATTTTCATAAACTTTTTCTATAACTTTATCTGAATCTATTTTATGAATATTACTTGTAATCACTTTCACATCATGTAAGATATATATTTAACAAATAACAGAACCAATTCGATCATCTGTAATGAAAAATGACTTTATTAGTTAATAGTTAATGCCAATCTTGAGTTGTTTTTCTGTTATATTCAGATAGTGAAGGTATAATTATTTTGATTAAGAATAAAATAAGATAGAAGTGTATTTACTGGATTAAATAGAAATTAGTATATAGATACACTTAACCCATATAGGTCAACAGCAATTGCAACATATATTTTGTTTATCTTTTAATTCTAATTTCAACAAAATTAGTATTTTATACTGTGTTATTATACAATTTACATGAAAAATAGTTTTTCATGTAATCATGGTACTCGTTGTATCATATTGATTGTCTCGTGAATAGTTATATTTAATTTATGTGTATTCCACTGATCTACATAGAATACTTCGTTACAAATTTTTCAGTTAGTAGTTTTTTTATTCGATTAACTTTGATCTATTTCTAAAATATGAAAGAAAATAGTAGTGTATGAGATATATATTTGAGAGAAGTCGTCAAAATGAAAAACTAGTTTTATGTCTATTTCATATATTTTCTTTATTTTTGCTTTTACACAGGTAAAACTGATTGAAGAGTTATATTCCTATTCCAGGTAGAAATCAATCAACTGTATCTGAGGGTATGCTTCGACTGTTTAGATTCTCACTAGTATCATTAATCTTACTTTAAGATATGGAAAAGTTGAGCATAAAACTAGATAGAACTCGTTGAGTTCTGCTTTGGAACAAGTCTCTAGGTAAATCAAAACAAGACTTACTCCAATCAGGGGCTAACTTCACCGACATCTTATCTTAAAAAGTACTAAATAAGATAAGACTGACGTGTCTCAGTGGCGTATTTACGATCATTAGACGAATAAGCACACTTCTCTTGTATCAGAAAGACACTTTAGGCAAAATGGAGCAAGAGGGTGGGTGATATTTTAGAGACATTCACACCCACACTCTCAAGGTGGTTTTCACATGAATTTTGCAAAATCTTTGTTTTAGTCTTAACTAAATCGGATAGTATAAAAGAATTATCTCGAATACTATGCAACTTTTTGCATACTTTCATCTGTGTTTTATCCGTTGTAGAGAAATTGATCATAGCTGATAGAGTTAGTGCGGTAAAGTCCTATTAAATCTTCTATTAGGCTAGTTCTTGACTTAGCTAAATAAATATCATGCCGGAGGGATTTTAGAAAAGAAGTCTTTAGTTAATGACGGACATAATCAAGATTTAATGAATGAAGAAAATAATGTCCGCGAGAGAAAGGTGAAAGAATACTAAATAGAAAAATGCAAAGAAAACCGATAATTATATAGATATAAGAT